AAGCAGTAAGAGGAGGAGGTACACACTCAGCTGTACACCTGTCAGCTCATGGATTTTGTCTTTAGCTGCTTCTGTGCCATCCCACCCATGAAATCCAGGTGTGCACTTGAGGTTTCCCGGCACGTTATCTGGTTCCATTCACTGGTCTTTTGTTTCAGTGTGTCCAATGCAGGGTTCTTTGTAGAAAGATGTCAAGGTACGAGCCTCGGTGCCAGTTATGTAACATAACATAGTACGGATAGCAGTACATGTACATACATGAGCTCCTGGGCCAGTGCAGGGGCATGTACACGTATCCTGTTGAGGAAAATTGACTTGAATCTGTCTGTGCACATGCACTTTCTCAGTTTTCTGCTTTGGGATCAGCTGGCCTGAGATGTAGTTGTGATCAGCAGATACTGCTAGAGTCTGTACAGGTACCTGCATCTTATATTCACTGATTTCCTTACTGTAGTCACCTCCTGTGTTCAGAGTGGGTTCGTTACACTTCCTCTCATCCTCAAAAAGGCAAGCACACATTCTGTTGGATTTACCTGGTTTCCCACAGGACCGTCATGCCTGTACATGTACATGTGTTTCACAGAATAAAAACCAAATTGAGGGATAATTTTAGAGAGCATGTGAGAAATGATGACCGAATGCCTAATGTCAACTGAGTTTTTTAGTAGGATTGAAAATGCCAACAAATTGATAATTAACCCTAACAGTCCTGAATGCTACAAAGTACTACTTAGTAGTAAAATGTAGTACTCAGCCCTGTCGTTTGTAAGAGGACATGACAACATTATTCTCTGAAGCCATAAAATACAATAGAGAAGACAATGTACCATATAGTGCTGTGGCACTATGAATGCATAGTTTCATTGTTCTCTATACGAATAACAACGGAATAAACCTAGCCAGAAATAGTAATTTGAAGTGCTAGGGCCTTCAGGCTCAGAGTGTTACATAGTATTTTGCAGTACTGAGTACTCCAAGCCAAACAACGCCCGGTACTGTTAGGGTTAAAGGTTGAGCGACCAATTATGCAAAAATCATACAATCATAAGTAGTGGCATCCATCAGAACTCAGAAACTGTCCCTACTGGAACTTACACATATGTCCTAACATCGCTGATGACCCCCAAAATTTCATTAGTTTGAAGAAAAAGACGCAACATCATAAAATCTTAGTTCCAAATGTAACTTCTAGCAAATGTTAAAATGTCATTTGTTTCTGGTCACGGTTTTGCTTTCTGATTACTGAAGTGAAGTTACTGGTGACCATAGGACTGTATCACAGAGGTTAGGCCTAGGCCAACTGTACCTCCAAAACTTAAGGTCTGACGTCCACCCTGCTCCGAACGTTGAAACAAGGCAGACCTCAGACCTTACAGTTCTGGGGGTAGGCTAGGCCTATATGGAACTCATCCCGCTTAAATAATAATTCTAAACAAAGCCTAGGCTGCTACTAACCTGCGCTGACCCAACCTTCCCGACATAGTGACCCATAGTTGCAATTGCCTACTTCAAAGGGAGATGGGCTTTGGCAAAAAACCCCTCGCATCATGGCGCATTTTTGCTTCATTCACCATGAATATGATGATGAATCAGCCATTCGTTCGCCTTCTCCAAAGCTCAATGAAAGACCTTGGCTACATGTAGATAGCTGACTAGAGCTTGAGAATGCTTGCAGGGACACTAAAATGTTTGAAGAGCTCAACCTTAGTACACGTACATGTACTTCGGCATGAAGGCGCATACTCCAAACAAGATGGCGATCGATTGAGTACTGCGGAGTACCTGGCTCTGTTCAACCATTGAGGGGGTACTTCTAGTCGAGGCGGATAGGATGTGTTATTTCATGGTCCTGGGGTTGGACCTGGTGTTGTGTATGCTGTGCCATGCATACGTGCCCAGATTACATGTACATGTTCCAGGATATGAAATCTTCTCAAGGATACCACTTACACTGCTCCAACATGTACAGGAACATGTAATTACAGGAATCACTAGAGGATTTTGAAGGATTAAGGCAGTGGTCACCACCCCTTCAAGGAAAATATTGGTACCTTGTATAGTAAGAAATAATATAATAATACCAGCTTTATTTTCAGATGGTAGCCGTGTCATCTAAAAAGAAAAATGATTTTCAATGGGCCGTCTATCAGTATTAAGCTATGTATGTAAAAAGACACACCAATCTAAATGACATGCAAGGACTAAAGATAACAATTAGAAAAGTATAACAGTAAGCATAAAAATACGACTTAAGTATAAATGGATGAGAAATTATGCCATGATAAAAATCTGTGCAATACATACACATAGAAATCCCAAGACAAAATGAATTTGGATAAAAATCGAATTGATCATGGTGCCCACTCCCACGCACCTACCTTGGTGTCAAGACTGGAGGAAAACCCACATCAGCAGTAAGGTACAACATTTAAAAAAACAGGCATACGTTATCTTATTAAAAATTACAATCAATGGCGAAGGTATCACACTTATACAGGTTTTGCCTCAGACACTGGAGCAATCTCTGCTTAAATGTTTCAACATTTGTAATACTGTAGCTTTTAAATCCCCACTCAGCTTGTTCCTAAGAGGAACAACACTATAACGTACATGTACGTAAACGATCTCTGACCAGTGGTTGAAACAAATGTAGTAATACTAACAGACACTTTTAGAAGATTGAGTTCTGTATCTGATTTTCCATGGAGATAATTGGAGGACTTTGAATGACTGAGGATGCATCTTTGCCAAAAGGGCCAAAGTGTTGAGGGGTTTAAAGGGAATTGTATTTTCTTCAAGACAAAATACAAACTTGTGCATTTCAAACAAAGAGAAAAAGGTGCATTTCATATTTGACACACTCCTTTAGGATGAACAACAGGCTGTTGGTGGAACTTCATATTTTCTGTTTTGTTTTACATGTACATGAGCTTCTTTTTGTTTATGGAAAGAAAATGTAATTGTTTCAATTCAATAAACATGCTTGTAATGTGACTCCAAAAAAACCTTCCCCTCTAACGATCATCTTACCAGCTGGTTGGGAAAACTGTTTCACTCGTTAAAAAAGCTACTGATGTCATGTACATGTACTGAACATCGTGCATGCAGAGAATGTGTGAGCTGAATATATGTAGACCTAAAGCAAAGATTTCACACTTTGTTTATGTATGTACAAGTAAGTATATGCACTTTCTTACATACAAGGGGGCTTGATGGATCGCATCCCATCTCACTACCATGGGAAAACCCACATGTAAATAAGGTTTGTTGGTACCCAAAGTGTATAATGTATGCTGTTGTTCATCATCGACTAGACTGTCTATGTACATGTAGCTACTGGTACTGTATACCACATGCGGCAGTCTCAACTGACAGACTTGACTGACAGGACTATGATGTAGTGCAGTTTTCTTTGTCAGTGGTTAAAACCATTTTCTCCCCATCTTAGCAGACACAAATATATTGACTGCTGAAATTACAGATGTCCTCATGAATTTTCCAAATCACTTCATGGGTAAATCATTCTAATGGGTAAGGCTAGACATACATGTATATCTTTGTTTGATTAAGATTGTTTACCAGAGCACATATGCTCTGTTGATCAAGCATATTCCCTGATCATCTGCTGTAAGCCTAATACGTGTACATGTACCTGCATGAGTGGGTCTGACATTTGCATCTATAGCTTTAAACTTAAATATGCATGATGCTTCAAAACCAGGAAACAAGTCTGCAAGTTGGCAATCTAATGGTCGATCATCCACAAGTTGGGGATGATGCGACCAACATCCTCACTCAAAGGTAGAAATATTACAGTAGACATTGTACATGTAGATCTTGTGATGAGTGCATGGTGAATGAAACCAAATTACTGACTTGAGCACCAAGTTTACTTCTGGAGTTTCTCGTTGTAAAAGAAAAATGAATTTGATAGGTGATCTCCATTGCTAAGTTTACAAGCTGGATAGCTTCACCAGTTGGTGCCATTCATCATGTTTAGGATTGAATATTTCATGCATCTCGCACAACAAACACTGACAAAGGAATCACTCTCAAACTTGTCTTCCTTTCCAAACTGTCCCTGCTCACTTCAAGATTTGGTATTTTTTAGCAATGATAATCAGTATAGAATAGTGTCTGAAAAGCACCACAACTACTGTACATGTACATTACTGAAATACCAGACCAGAATGCTGATATGCAGCGACACTGAAAAAATTCAAGTACGAGGAATCGTATACCGGTACATGTGCATGCACATGTACGTGATGTACATGTGCATGGACATGTACATGTGCATGTACATGTACGTGATGTACATGTGCATGGACATGTGCAAGTACATGTACATGGACATGTACAATGAACATGTTAGATACTGTACATTAGAGGCCTGTCGGTAAATTGATACATTCCTGTAATGTTACTAAGCTTTGAAATGCTCCTGATACTCCAAAATTCTAAAAAGAATGACACTTTACAGACATTGTTGAAACTAACAATTTGTGCCTGATCATGTTAATAAAATGCCCAAAACATGGGTCCATTAAACATAAATGCAAAATTTGTACACAGATTTCATTGATTTATTTTTTTTTTATATGTA